AAGCAGTTCTGGAAGTTCATTTTTAAAAATGTTTACAATGTAGCTCAGTGGTGCCACTGCCTGCCTCAAAATCGCAAGGACCTGAATTGGATCCCCAGTGCCACAAAAAATTACAAACAATGTTTATAAGTACATGTTAGCAGGACATGATGATTGCATTCGTCCTGCAGATTTGGTACATGTACATAACACATCTTAATTCTTTTTAATTCCCCTCTTCCCTACCCCTCTCTTTTTCATGAGTTTCTTTATGAGATGTGATTAAAAAAGAATACAATGAACGCTGCTGCTAAGTGCCATTCAGTGGAAAGACGGGCTCACAAAACACTACAGGGTGCCATTACCTACTTCACCATACCTGACTCCCTGTGATTTCTGCATCTCCTTCAAAGTCAAAGTGACCACAAAAGGCAAACATTTTTACTCCAGTCGGAACATCAAGGCCACTTACAAAAAAGAGGAATTCCAGGACTGCTTCAGAAAGTGGCAAAACCAATGGGCTAAGTGTGTTCAAAGCTAGGCAGATCATGGCGGGAAGGGTTACTGGCAACTTGACTCTTACTCTGCTAAGGTCAAAAGAAAAAAAAAGGGGTTTAACATTCACCATGTTTTTCAATCACACGTCATATGACCATGATCATACTTGAAAGTTAGGAGAAAATGTTTTGATTTTGGCATTCTTTAAAGACCTTGATACATGCAAAATGAACAGAATACTGTTATCCCAGGTTGACTGATTTCATGCCTAAATTGTGCCTGTGCCTAGGTAGATCCACAGAATTAACCCATTTTTATGCAGACAAAAGTCCCACTGCTCAGGTTCTTCACAGAATCCATGATGCTGCAGTAGCTCCAAAATAAACCTGGCCTGAGACTGCACCAAACCAGAGCGAGCTCCATCACAAGTCTGAGCAGAGTACAGAAATCAGCTCTTCATCAAGGTCTCAGCAGACCCATGCCACAGAGCTGACCCTTTTCTTTTTCATGAATTTGTGATCTAACAAAACAGTGGTTATTTTTTTTTTATTACACATACATGCAACATAGGCTCCCATGAACTATTTCAACTTCCTGCTACCACAAAACTCAGAAATTTTCCTATACACACTTTGACCTATCCCATGTCTCAGGAACTCCAAAGGACTGAAAATTCTGAAGTTTTCTGATTTTAATATCACTGTTTATTATTCCCACATTTTAAAAACATATAAGTACAAGGGGGTGAAGGGAGGGCAGGGACAAGGGGAAAAATGAGAACCAAGACTTGTCATGTAAAGGTACAAGATCCCAATAATGAATGTAACTGTACTGTATACCTAAAATGTACCAATAAACTCAATTAAAAAATATAAGTACATTTTAAACAAGGTTAAGTCAAGCTTGAGAAAAAGAAAAATGTAAAAGATATTGAGGGAAATGTAAAAGTGGACAGCAACCCTTAGGGAATTAGACCAGGACACAGGTTACCACAGGACTCCCTGCAAGTAACCTGGTGAAGTCAAGCGCAGACAGCCCTACCCCAAAAGGATACCACTGGCAAGCAGAAGCACCCTTCCTCAGCACCAAAAGTTGTGCTTACCTTTTTAAAACTACGATGATCAAAGTGGACATGCAAATGAGTCTCAACCTTTTTGCTCCCTCCTTGAAAGATTCTTAGGCACTATACAGAAGTAACGTATTTGTTGCCCATTATCCAACTTTTGAAAGAATATTCCTGCATTTTCATTAAGAAGACACATATTATATGTATTATGTCATATACACACAGTGGGATACTGGTCCCCCTTTAAAAGGAGATGCTATAGTTTATGACAAGATGTCTCCAGAGGTGAATCCAGAGGACATTCTGCTAAGTGATATGAACCAGACTGAATGAAAGTTACTTCATAATCTCCCTTATATGTGGAATCATGTTTTTAAATGCTGAATAGCAGAAACAGTGATGCCAAGGATTTAGCTCAGTGTGTCGTGCCTGCCTTGTAAGTGCAAGGTCCTGAGTTTGATCCAGAGAGAGAGAGAGGGAGAGAGAGAGAGAGAGAACAGTGTTTACTGGCAGGGAGGTGAGGATAAGGAGTTGTGGGTCGAAGGGGACAAACTTGCAATTGCATAGCATGAATGAATCCAGATTTCATGTACAGTAGAGGGACTATAGGTGACAATATTGTATTGTATATTAACTTTTTTTCTAACAGAATAGATTTCAGGTGCTCTTATAGTTTTCAAAAAAGGTAACAATGGAAGATGATGGATAAGTTAACTTGCTTACCTGAGAAATTATTTCACTATATATGTATATCAGAGCGTGTGTATCTTAAATGCAGACAATAAAAATATTTTTAAAAGAAGATAAGTTTTAATAGAGGACAGGACATTGAATCACTATGTATTACGTTAGTGAATGGGTGCACTATGTGATCTCCCAGCACCTCCATTTTACCATTTTTTAAAATAGTGGCAGTAATAGTACCCACCTCCATAGGATGCTGAAAAGTTAAAAACTCAAACCCTTGAAAAATTCTAGTGTCTGACACAGTAAATTTTGAGTAAAGATCAAGGAAGCAGCAGCAGCAGCAGTAATGACAATACCAGCATTAGGAGTAGCATCAGTACAGTGATGGTAAAAGCAGTGGTAGTTGTAGCCACAAGTACCACACAGATGCAGCCCCAAAGCTCTATGGCAGCTGTGGCCAAACTTGTCCTAAGTCAAGAACACAGTCAAACTGTGTGCAGCCTCTTCACATAATTAATTGACTGTGCTCAAAAGATTTGATCTTTCAAATTTTAAGAATATGAAGGTAACATGTTTTTTGCCATGAACTTGCATGAAAAGCACAGATGGATTTTGATACCATGTTGCATAGTTATGGTTTAGCCCAAGGAAAGTCAGGGATCTAATGTCATTAAATAATAAATATATGAAGCCTAGTAACAATGTCAGGGAGTGTACATGGTAAGGGTCAAAGTCTGCATGTTCAGGCTTTGGGAGAAGGCTCACAAGCCAAGAACGCTACATTAGCCCAAGGCTTTGTTGTCCAGCTTAACTTGGTTAAGTCACCAAAGGAAAAAAGAAAATGAGTGTCCAGGGCCATTAGATTTGTCTCCTACAACTAGCCAAAGTTATTAAAATTATTTTTGTTCTTAGAGGAAATGAAGGGGTACATAAAGAGATAATAATCATCATCATAATCATAATAATAGAGCTTACAAAGTTAGCTTGCAAAACTATGAATGTTTTCACTGCTCCCCAGTGGAAATGAAGTTTAAAAGCTGGATAAAGAAAGTTGATTGGGACAACTAGGAATTTTTTGAGGCTTTTGGTTCTTTTACATATGCTACATGCTGTAGTTTTCATGTAAGTTATAATGAATTATATTTTTAGTGAAGAATGTGAAATACATTTAAGTAAAGATATTTTAGAATACCCTCAGTTAAGTTTCTTCACTGAAAATATACTTGCCTGCAATAGTATAAGAACCTGAGCGACAGGCTAGGGATGTAACTCGATGGTAGAGTGCTTGCCTACCTCACAGGAAGTCCTGGGTTCCATCTCCAGAAGTGTGGCAGAGTGGGGATGTGCACAGAGGGACAAGAGCCAAAGAGAAGAGAGTAGACAGCTCACAGACTTGCTGTCATGTGACACCAGCAATCCCTCCTCTCAGAAAGAAGAATTTGTTGTCATTCCCACAGCCTGACAATACCCACATCCTTGGCAAAGCTCAGAAGGCAATGAAGAAATGTTCTCATGAAATTCTGTAGATGAGCATGGCTCTTGCAAATATTGTGGCACTAAGTCAGAATCAGAGAAGCTGCCTGGATGTCTGCATATTTGTGGTTTCTGCTGTTCAGTTTGTGTTCAGTTTGGCTTCATTCTCAGAAATGAATAAACTTGATGTGATAGGCTGTATGTCTTCCTGCTAGCCATTAAGAAGTCTGGGAGCTATTTTTCTCTGATGCGTGTAGTAATGTGGTTCCAGAGACACCCCTAGACTCTCAGAGCAATGAGTTCAGTCTCCCTGCTACTATGCATACTGCACATCACTGGAAATGTTTAAGGAGTATTTTTTCTTTTTTTAATTTCTGGGGCTCAAACGTGGGACCTTTGCACTGAGCTATATCCCCAGCCCTTTACTGTTTTTTTAAATTTGAGACAGAGTGTCACTAAGTTCCTGCATTGCCCAAGCTGTGTTTGAACTTGCAACCCTCCCGCCTCAGGCTCCTAGAGGGGTGGGGTTACAGGTGTGTGCCACCACACCTGACAAGGAACATAGTGTTGGGGTCTGTTTTTCTCTCGTCTACAACCATTTGACAACAGAGAGACCTAAATATCTTTCAGAATGACTCATCTTCCTCCATACGCTTAGTTCATGTTGTCCTCTTTTATTGCTCCGATGAGTTCAGTATCTTCCTCCTTACCTGACTTCCTGCCTATAGTTAGGGTGGTGATAGATAGTATAAAAAATAAACCTCCAAGTCACTATGACAATAATAGAAGTGTATTTCCAGTGTTTCTATTCAGTGAGGACCTTCCCCACGGTGATTCCAGACACAGGCTCCTTTATCCCTGTTACTCTGCAATACTGTTAGGCAGGAATCTGTAAAGGGCCAAATAGTAACTACATGAGGCTCTTTGGGTCACACAGTCTAAGTTACAACTACTTCAGCTGTGCCATTTTAGCACTAAAGCATATCTACCCAAATGAACGTGGCTGTTTCAAAACAACTTTATACATGAATACTGAAATCTGAATTACATATAATTTGTACCTGCCATGAAATATTCTTGTTTTTATTTATTCCTCAAACTTTTAAAATCTTAAAACCATGCTTATTTTAAGGGCTGTAGAAAAACAAGTAGCAGGCTAGATTTGGTGTCTCCTGTATCAGAGTAAAAAGAAAATCAAATTTCAAATACTGTGGCCTGATGATTTGAACTGGTTAGAATTGTGCTGTTTCGTTTTAGCAGCATGATATTAAATATTTGATTCTTCTTTTTTCCACAGGCTCTGGAAATATAGCAGTGTCCCATCCCATTGCTGCCAGCACACCTGAAGGGAGCAATTATGGAGCAATAGGTACTTCCTACAAAGAGTCTGTTGGTGGAACTCTTTCTTCATTCTCCAGAGATTAGCTCTCCAGCCACTCATAACTGTGAGCATACACAAGCCAGTCGCTTTCTAAGCTTGTCCTTCATTTATAAGATAAATCGGTTGGGTAATCTGGAAAATCCCTTCCATCTTTAACTTTGTGCAGTTTTGTTTCTTGATTTGCTAGCCACACTTGAGCAGAATTCCCTAAAGTGGTTTCTGGCCACTACCAAGTTCCCCTGGGGACTTGTTTATACCTAGCCTGAGTATAGGGCGTAAAAGATGTGTCCCAGGGAGGCTGGCATCCATTGACCAGTTGTTTCATTCTCAGTTGCAGTGGAATAAGGGCAGTCAGAAGGCTAAGGCAGTGTTGCAGGTGAACATGGCTGTAGCCTAATCATCCTTTGGGGCTAACTGCACAACTGAGCCAGTCACTGCCACCCAGTTGTTCACATGGAAAACCCAGTATGCATGAGTCAGCCTGCAAAGAATGGGATCCCTGCTCCAGTCTGGTTAGGGCAGGAGTGCACTCAGTTGCCTTGCCCTTTCCATGGTCCTCTGGGCCTGTGCATGGTGCCCCTCAAATCATCATAGAGGGACTGCACGATTATTCTATATCTTTGTGCATGTGGGCTCAGTGTAGGCTGCTTATTTTTAGTTCTCAAAGAACAAGATTTTTTTAAATCCATCTGAGCAGATGAAATAAAGTGGAAGATAGGCTCAGCTCATATGCTCAAGCTGCACAAATCCCATCTGCTCTAGGAAACATTCATGGGGACACAAGAGTCCCCCTTCCTGAGAATGTTGCTTCATTATATAACCATAGATTCGGCATGTGAGAGATTTCTGAATATAATTGCTTTATTCATGAGAAATGTATAGCTGAATATGTGTGTACTTACACATATATGTGATAGATGACTGTGTGCATGTTTATATATTTGTGTTCACATTTTAAATATGAAACATGAAATTTAAGCACAGTGCTGTTTTTGCATCCAAATATTTAACACAACAGATGTCCTTATAGTCTAATACGTATTCAAAGATAGACAAGTTAAATGTAAAAATAGGAGATAGGAAAAATGAAAGTCCTTTGAGAAGGTACGAGAGAAAGAGAATGTCTTAGGGGTAAGGACTTTGTTTTGACCAAAGTAGTGTTTTCTAGAGTGAGTCAGCACTATTCTTTCTGCAGAGAAATGGGCTCCATGGGCTGTTCTTGGCTTTTAAAAGCAGGTGAGTTCTCTCTTTCAGATGGGTCAACCTCTAACCCTGGAAGGCAGATGTCCTCCTCTGATGGTGGGCAGCCGTGCCCGTCAGACACAGACAGCTCCGTGGAGGAGAGTGACTTTGACACCATGCCAGATATTGAGAGTGACAAAAATGTCATCCGGACCAAGGTAGCTCCCTTTGCCTAGCCACACTTTTTGAGGGGGCAGAGAGTTTGATGGTAAAAGAAACTTCACCAGTACCTCAGTTTCCTTTATATTTTTTCCCTTCAGAGAAACTCAAATTTCCCAGCATATTCAGACAAAACAAACTACAGACTAAAGAAAGTACTCTGTTCATTAGCACCTTTTGCTTGAGAAAAAAAATGAAAAATTAAAGATAACAATGCATTATAAACACTCTTGGGATCTGAAATGGATGACTAAAGGCAAGAAAGGATAGAGGGGATCTAGTAAAAGAGGGGTATAGTTGGAAAAGCTCCTCGTTTCTGTACAAATTGTCTTTTGGGAGTAAAGCTCATTTCTTAATGGCCTATATTTATTATATTGTTTGGATCCCACTAAAAGATATGAAGGTAAATTGCACAGTTTCATCCATCTGTAATTCAAGAATGAATGGCTCAGAAAGCTGGGAAATCAATACATGAGATCTAAGAAGCATTCAAGTCTCCTCATAGGTTTCCCACATTGGCCAATTATCAACGTTCAAAGGAAAATATTAAGATTTTTATTAAGGTATCTTGGGAAAAGGGAAAATTAAAAGAAAAGGCTTACAGAATAATTGTGATCTCTGATGAGGAATTGAATTAAAATGAATAAAGCTCTTCTTTGTGTCTTGTGCAAGAAAAACTAAGTGAGATTTTGTGTTCTCTTTTCATTTGACATTCCAGATGTTCCTTTACCTGTCAGATCTGTCCAGGAAAGACCGGAGAATTGTAAGCAAAAAATACAAGATTTATTTTTGGTAAGTAGATGACCGGTGACACCATGGTCCCTTTAAATAAGACTAAATCACTTAAGTTTAAAGTTTTCTTTGTAGAAGCCACAGCCCCTTCAGTCACAAGAGTGTGCTGCTTCATGAGGCATGAGTACTGGTGACAATGCCTCCAGCTAATGACACATACACTTGTGATGGTCATAGTCACAGGCACAGCTTCCTGCCCAAGCTAAGCGCTGAGCAGACTGAGAAGGGCACCACAGCCCTCAGCAAACCCCAGGTCTACTGTTGGCCTCTTGTTGCAGTCTTTCCTGTTCTTTTCTCCAGAAGAATGCCCTTTTACTTGTACACAAATATTGGAGGGAAATCAGGGACGATGGAGCCATACGTCACTTTGTAATGGAACCATCATTTTGGAAATAAGAGTTACATAAGAAAGCTACATGCTCTACATGTGATCCTTTAGCTGCTGTTTACGTTCTGATCACTTTTAATTTAACAACACCCCAAAGAGATGGGTTCTCATTAATAATGTGGTTAAACCAGAAAGCAGGTGTTATACATTCTACAAATTGTTGTGCAAAGATGAAGAAAAAATTAATAATGGTGAGATGCCAATGATTAGTCTTCAAGTACATCGTTTCAGTTAACATTTTCAGTCGTCTCTACAGTGAAACTGATAGTAATCAAGGAGAGTTTTGTTTACTTCCTTTCCTCCCCTGTATTCAAGACATAGTGTATACCAAATGCCCAAATACAAGAGAAGGGGAAAGGAACACTGGTGAAAGAGGAACTGTATCACAGTTTGAGACCACTTTTGCAAATTCACTATGGAATTAGGAAGAGGAAGCATTCTGTAAAAAAAAAAAATACAGCAAAAATTTGACTGTTCATTGGAAAATAAATATTTCTGGTTCTTCACATTTGCATAGGAATATCATCACAATTGCTGTGTTTTATGCACTTCCTGTGATCCAGCTGGTCATCACCTACCAGACAGTAAGTGCCACACTCAGCCTAGAATCCCAGGTCCCACCCTTCATGGAAAAAAGAACAACTTGAGATCTGTTCAACCATTAATTTCCCATTTGAGTTCCAAGTGGACTTCCCTATTGCTTCATTCTTAACTGGCCTTTCAATCTCTTTCCTCACTGCTTGATCACAAGAGGACCTAGCACTCCTTATATTGTTTTGTCTACCAGCCTGAAAGTCTTACCTTGCACTCATTCAGTCATAGCATGTGTCAAACTCACCCATTCCACTCTGAGGTTTCTCATCAGCATGAAATAATGGTAAAGTTCCAGATCAAAGCAAAGAAATCTGTTGTCTAATTTAGCCTGTGCCTTCTCATTGAGGATAGATATTTTTATAAAAGTAAAAACAGCTACATGAAACTAACAAAACATTAAAACAAAAAGAAAATATAAAATATGAACAAAAAAATTTAAAAATCAGAGATAGCATTAAAACAGCTTGAGAATCCCCACCACTCCTCCACAGACCCCTAGGTCACTTTATGTGTAAATTCTTTAGAATTTACCATACATGAGAAAGCCCATTTAGAACAGGATGAATCTGGAGATATTTTTAATACAGTGACTCTCAAACTTCACTGTGCATTAAATCACCTGGAACACTTATTCTAAAACTCTTAGTATGCAGGTGTCACCCCACACCAAAAAGACTGGGGTCTCTGAGTGGAACCAGGCATCAGTACCATTCAAATCCCCCATTGATTCCAACATACAGCTAAGTGTGAGGGCTAAAATTCTAATAATATTTAGTCCATTCCATACCTGTTACCTAGGAAGGACAAGGACTTTGAACACCACTGTTTAAATATTCTCTACATATTTTAGTTTCCCAAAGACAGAAGAGACTGTTGTGCCATGGTTTGGATAAGTTCTTGATAGAGATGGCAGTAAATATAGAAAGCTGAATATATACCTGCTCATGTCTGCCTGCTCAGTGGTTCTCATTTCCACCCACATGGTACAGTAGTTCATATCCCTCCAGCATTAATCTAGAGAATAGCAAGGCAAACTGAAAAGGCAGGTCCCAATGTTAGCATCCTTTCATAGTCTTTGTGTGTTGACAAAGGATTCATAGTCTGTTGAATTCCACCTTGAGAACAACTATTGGCGTGCACAGACTATTTCCCTTCAAAGAAAGATGGTGACGTTTATAGGAAATAGGCCTGTACTATGTAAGGTGACAAATTATAACCCATCCCTGCTGAGGAGATGCACCTGTTACATTGGGTTTTGCTGATGAGGATTCACTGTCCGCAATTTGTGAATTCAGGTGGGGCATAGATGATGGAGAAAAATACATTTCCTCTTCTCCCATTGATTTCACAGGTGGTAAATGTCACTGGCAACCAGGATATCTGTTACTACAACTTCCTTTGTGCTCATCCCTTGGGTGTCCTAAGGTAAACACAGTTCTCTGGTTGCTTATAAGGCATTTAAAGATTCCTTTCCATCTAATGCAGTTTCAGCTTTTAAAAACAACTGTGAAAGACTACCCTAATCAGGGTGAAGAGGAATAAAACCCCAAGGTTGAGGCCAGATATGGTCTTACCATTCCTGTATGAAGGCCACAGACATTTCTAAGAGGCATCTGCTGAGTAGCCAGTGATGTTTTTTAAAATGTCAGGTCCCTAGCTGTGGTGACATGTGTTTATGGGCATGAGCTGGCAGCCTGTTGTCTCATTTGGTAGGTATGTTAAACAACCTCATGAGAGAGATTCTTTCACCTCCATTGTTAGACATAGATAGTTGGACAGGTAAAGGCTTGCTGAAAGCCCCTCACCTTTTAGGAATGTCAGAACTTGACCCCAGGTCTGCAGCCCTCCTCGCTGTCCTCTAACCACCAGAACTGGGTGAAATGCAAAGAGCATTTGTCTAGGAGTCTAGCTTTTTGCTTCAGAGCAGAACCAGCTTTGGTTTCCTGAAATAAAGCTGCTAGCTGACATGCACCAATGTTTATCCTGAAATTCACAATTCACAATTAGAGAACTGAATGTTGATATGTAACATGGGTCCGCCTATGATAATCCATTCTCATGGTGTAGCTGAAATGCCTGCCCATCTTTGGAGCAGCTCTCTTTCCCCGAACTCATACTTTGTCAGGCCATCAGGACAAGAGAAGATTGGGCAGGTATTAAGGAAGCACAGCAGGCATTCCTGAGAAGAAATAGGGATGTTACCACAAGCTGAGTGAGCATCCCAAAATGAAGTCATGAGGTTAAAGAGGATTTCTGATGATTTGCCAACCCTGAAATCTTGGGGCAAAGTTGGTGGGAAAACACCAAATGCTGAATCACTCTCCCATTCGTGTGTCCATTCATTCTCTGAATCCTCCTGGTTGTTCATGGCTTCTCATTCCTCTCTTTAGTGCCTTCAACAATATTCTCAGTAACCTGGGCCATGTACTTCTGGGCTTCCTCTTCCTGCTAATAGTCTTGCGCCGGGACATTCTTCATCGAAGGGCCCTGGAAGCCAAAGACATCTTTGCTATGGTGAGGAGACAGTGGGCAGATCAAAGGTAGGAGTTGGAAAGGACCATGATTCCAACAGAATCTGTAAGGGGGAGGGACACCTGGCTTGATGACATGAGGATATGTTATGTGTAATGAGCCACATGAGGCTACACGCATGGGCTTCTAGATTATGTGAATATGTTGCTAACAAGTGTTTTTCTATTGACCACCCTTTCTCCTTTTTCAGGAGTACGGGATTCCCAAACACTTTGGTCTCTTCTATGCTATGGGCATCGCACTGATGATGGAAGGGGTGCTCAGTGCTTCTTACCATGTCTGCCCTAATTACTCCAATTTCCAATTCGGTAATTAGAATATTCTATCAGCTACTCAGATGTAAGTTATATAGGAATCCTATTCTGGGACATTTCCAAAAATGCCAAGCTCATACTTGCAAGAAATCACACACATTTTGTATGAACTAAGTGATCTGAGAGCATCTTGCCACAGTGCATGGTTTCCACACCTTCTACCATTCTTTCTCTTGACCACTTTTCATACCAGAAAACACTCAAGATTGCCTGATGGTCCCATGGTGAGATCCAAAGGCAAGCCATGGGCTAAGCATTAAGCAGTAAGCCAGACAGAATCCACTGGCAGACTTCTGGAAAAGCCCCTTGGGGTTTTGCTTAAGCAGTTATGCTTTCCTGGGTTGAAAGTAATAGAAAACCCAATTTAGATTGGCTTGAATAATAAGGACACCTATGGCTCACTCTCTGAAAGTCCAGAGGTAGAAGGGGCTTGCTGCTGGCTTATGTAGTGCCACCTGCTCCATTTCTCTGTGTGATCCCTTTGGATATATTCCACCTGTATGTTGGTTTTATTCAGAGGCTGACTTTCCTTGTAATTGGTAAAAATAGTTATCATAGGTCCTGGCTTTGTATTGCATCCTCCAATTCTAGAGGATATTTCAAGGTGACTTTCAGGATCCTTAAGAGCAAAAAAACTTCTTTTTAAGAAAACCCCAGATAATGTCCCCTCATGCAACAATATCTCAAACAGTGATGACCCCATTCTTCAATTATTTGGAGGACTCAGGTGAGGCCTTTGTTGCCTCACTGATCACAAAGGAGGCGGGATACCCTTCAACCAATCATATCATCTCTGGAGGAAGGAAGGTGGAGATAGCTTTCCTGAAGCCAAGGGCCTGGAATGGTGTACATTTCTGAACTGAAAAATGTGTAGATATAGGGTCAATATTGTGATGTTATTAAGAAGGAAAAAGAGAAGAACAGAGGTGGTAGCTGACTGTCTTGTACACTCGGATAAAGATTTTTTTTTAAATTGCCACTTATGTTTATTCTCCGGCTTCTGGCTATTAGAACACCACAGAAATTCTCTGCCACATTTAATCTTTAAAAATTAGGAAGCATTTTTAATAGATAAAACTACTGGAAACATTATCATTTGTCACTCAAAATGAAGAAATGTCACAGCTCCTAAATATGTGCCTTAGACTTACTTTTTAAGACATATTGTGATAAAGTTATTCTGAACTTATTTCAGACTATTTCCCAAATTTAAGCCCCAGAAGCAACAGTGATCAGTTTGGTATTTAGCCTTCTAGTTTGTAGTTATATTTTACTACATTTATAGTAAATTAATGTTAATTTACCACATTGTGTTCTGAAACCTTTTCTCATTTAACAGTGTTTTCAAGATTTATCAAAACTGAAGCAAGAATATGGCATTCATTCATTTTTAAACATTGCCATATTCTATCACAAAGTATTTATTAACTTCTCCCCTGGACACCATTTAGATGATATAATACCACATGCAATACTGCAATGAACATGCATATATGTATACACATCCTCAAGCAGATGTGAGAGAGAGTCCCCAGGAAACTCAGATCACCTTATATGTGTATCTTCTATGTTGCCAAAGACAGACAAATTTCTCTACAGAGTGTTAATTCCTACTCCCACCATTCGTGTGAGAGTTTCCATTTCTCTCACATTGTGGACATTTATTATTACCAGGCATTTAAATGTCTTGCAAAATTTTTGAGTGCTGCAGCGCATTACGTTATTGTTTCACTTTGCATTTCCATAATTCCAGACACCTCCTTCATGTACATGATTGCGGGCCTCTGCATGCTGAAGCTCTATCAGACCCGTCACCCAGACATCAACGCCAGCGCCTACGCTGCCTATGCCTCCTTCGCTGTGGTCATCATGCTCACCGTCCTTGGAGTGGTGCGTCCTCTCAGCCCTCCAGTCTGGCTCCCCAAAAGGGCCCTCCTGGGAAGCTCTTTATTGTTTTCTGGACCTCAGGTGCATGGGCTTGGATTAACCATCACCTTCGCTCTGTGATACACTTCATGTGCCCATGTGGCTGTCTTATTTAGTTACTTAGCTGATGACTTCTAATAAGTAATAGAGGATTGTAAAGCCACTCCTGGATAGTAGTAATATCAAGCTGTGGTCAGACACATGTGAGATTAGAACACAGATGTCCAAGCCGATTGGCGAGACCAACTTGAAAGAACAGAAACCACTTTTTAAATGTGTACGGGTAAAAAGTGACGTTTGTCTCCAGTTGTTTTTTGTTTGGTTGTTTGGGTTTGGGGGAGTTGTTTATTTGTTTTATTTTGTTTTGTAGTACTAGAGATTGAACTCAGAACTTTTGAACTAGCTATATCCCTACCCTATTTTTATTTTAAGACAGGATTTCACTGAGTTGCCCAAGCTGGGCTTGAACTTGTAAGCCTCTTGCCTCAGCCTCCCAGAGTGCTAGGCTTACAGACCTGTGCCACCATGCCTGACTATCTCCAGCTATTTGAGGAACATTAGCTCCAACTTTAAGCTTATTGCCCCTTCTTATCGCCCCTGCTGTTGCTCAGCTGCCTCCCTTATTTCTTCTCTTTTCTGTTTTCATTTAGCCAGGTAACCATTCTTTTTTGGTTTGGTGTCAGTAAGATCCCTATAAGTTCCAAAAGGGGACAGTAAAGAAAATGTATACATCACTTAGTTTCACCCCTTAAACATGCAAGAGAGACAGCGATTTTAGTGAGTTCCTTGGTAAAACCCCAGATCAAGGTAACCTCCATCTCTGTTTCTAGGTATTTGGGAAAAATGACGTGTGGTTCTGGGTCATCTTCTCCGCCATCCATATTCTGGCCTCTTTGGCCCTCAGCACCCAGATCTACTACATGGGTCGTTTCAAGATAGGTGAGTCATCTCTTACCTTCTGTAAACACAGGCCTGAGGAAACAGGCATTGCCTTCATTCATTCTAAAGGAAGGTGTTACTGGTCACCACAAACATGGGCTCTGAAGTCTGTGTTCTCTTTAGTCACCACCCAGAGCTTCCTCCCACTTACAGAATTGCAATAAGCTGTTATCTCTGGTTCAATTTTTACCTAATAAACTCAGCTACAGAGCTGACTTGCAAATACTTTATGGGCCACCAAACATTGACTATGCAGTTTTAGGTTATATTTGTCATACCAGTAGTCTCACTTAAAGGAACATTTTTTTCATCTGCAGCTTTCCAAAAGGAGTATTTCCCAGCTGTGCTAAATGGTTGTCAAGAATGAGTCATGTATTACTCTTAGATTCTAGGGCTAGAACTTTTTGAGATTAGTTTGTCAGTCTTAGAGGCAGGATGCCTGTGAACTGTCTCAAACAATGTGGACCAACCAGAGAGCAGTGAGTGTTCTCCAGAAATCTGCTTATGATCATCATACATTGGAAGAAGTTTAAGAAGTTTTAGAACATTTACATTTTGAAAATCGTTTTAAGGTCCAGGAAGTCAGACTTAAATGTTTTTGTAGATTTCAACACAAATAATGATTTATAAACATAGCCTTACCCCTAATATTTGCAGGGCCCAGGGAAAGAATGCAAATAAAAGCCCACATACCATATATATGAAAAATTCAAAGTTATAAAGCAGACTAAAATCTATTAAATATGGGGAAGGAAGGAAAGAGAAAAAAGAGAGAGAAGAGAGAAAGAGAAGAACCAACTGGTAAATCTGTCTTTATTACAAACTAGAAGGTCCAGGTTCAAATTTAAAATTCTTCGTCCCTCAAAAACATATCAAACCTATAGCCCACTTATTATTGGCCCTCTTGTTCATATATAATAATGAAATATTTTTAAAAGGAAGTTTTGTTACATATATATTTAATATATTATACATCTTATATGTGACTCAAGAGAATTCCTGTTCACTAAAAAATAAAAATAAAAGTAAAAGTGAGCCACAGGTTGGACACACATATGACAAAGCTGCTCTTCTCACCTCTGGCTCTGTCCGACACCTTAGGGTCTCCCAGATATGCAAGAGGACATCACTGACCATGCCCAGTGTCCACACACGTACCCCACAAATGGCTCCCTCTTGGCTACTCCTTGCCCTAGGTGTGCACACTTATGGTGCCATCTGCCCTTTGAAAGAGAACCCAAGGGAGAGGGCTCTGCTAGCCCTGAAAGCAGACCCAGCATCATATAGGAAGGGAATTTTGGGGTCCAGTAATCCTGATTGTGATCTAGAAGAGGAAAGGTTCACCCTTTCACCCAACAGACTCCTTTTTCATGACACCCTTTGAAATAAGGGACTCCTCTTGGATAGATGTAAGAACAATTCAACACAAATGAATGACTTAAAGGCTACAAGTTCAAATAAAATACATTCTCACCTTTACAGTTAATTTCCTTTTGATGCAGTCAATAGATCAACCCCTAGTATTAATATGAGCAGTGCACTTCTGAATGTCACAGTGACCGTGGCCAGTTGTGTGGAACACTTGAGGTGCTCTGGTCACATCAAATCTTCCAAACCAAAGGTGACTGAAGTCACGGATTTTCAAGAGGAAAATAATTTAGATCATTGGTGTTCTAGTTTCTCCCAGAGTAATAAAAATAACCCTTAAAAACAGACATACGTAATGGTAATTACCATTGCCATGGTCATGGAAAACTAATGCTATGATGGCACTTACATGCATTACTAAATTCATTTTTCAAATATAATAATAAAATATTTTTAAAAGGAAGTTTTGTCACATATACATTAAATATATTATATCTTAGAATCTTATATGTGACTCCAGACAACTCTTCACCAAAAAAAAAAAAAAAAAAAAAAAAAAAAAAAAAAAAAAAAAGA